CTCCCCCTCCTCTTCCCACTCTTCCTCCTCCTTCTCGTTCTCCACCTCGGTCTCATCAATATTCTCTGCCTCTTCTATCTCCTCCTCGTATTTGTCCTCCTCCTTGCCTCTTTTTCCTCCTCCTCATCCTTCTCCTCCGTCTCCTCCTCCTCCTCCTTCTCCTCCTTCCTCCTCCCATGTTCACCTTCTCCGCAGTAGTAGTATTAGTCCTCTTCCTCCTCCTCGTCGTCTGCTTCCTCCTCCTCCTCCTCCTCCATTTCCTCCTCCGCCTGCTCCTCTTCCTCTCCCTCCTCCTTCTCCTCCTCATCCTCGTTCTCTCCCTCGTTGTCCTCCTCCTTCTCCTCGTTATTAGCTTCCTCTTCCTTCCTCCGAATTATCTTCCTACTAGTACGCCTCCTCCTCGTCTTCATTATCCTCATCAGCATCTCTTCTTCCCCCATCCCCCTCCACCTTTTCCACCTCCACATCATCCTCCTCCTCCTCCTCCTCATTACCTCCCTCTTCCCTCTCAGCATCGTCCTCACTACATTGTCAGTCGAGTTTTCTTGCGATTGTGATATTAAATTAGTATTGCCAAGATTATTGAAAACTACCACCCGTATTAATCGGAATATGAATGTTGGTTATATTAACAAGTTGTAGAGGAATCGTCATACTGATAATGCTACTGACAGTAGCAAAAATATTAACATGTGTACTGGTTACACTTGTCAGTTGTATCGTTATCAGTCTTAGTAGCGTGTCTCACCCTCATCCCCTTCCTCCTCCTCCTCCTCCTCCTCCTCCTCCTCCTCTGTTCGTCTTCTTCGTCGTAGCATTAGTTTTACTCATCATCCTCCTCCTCGTCTTATTATTCCACCTCCTCATCCTACTCCAGCTCCTCCTCCGCCTACTCCTCGTCCTCCCCCTCCTCCTTCTCCTCCTCCTCCTCGTTATTATAGTATTCCTCCTTCCTCGTAACCCTCGTCCTATTATTCCTGATCCTCCTCCGCGTGGTCATCCTTTTCCTCCTCATCTCGCCTGCCTTCTCCTCCACCTTCTTCACCTCCACCTCCACATCCTCATCCTCCTCATTACCGTCCTCTTACTCACCCTCACGAGCCTCATTGTCTTGTCATTATGGTATCATTATTCGTCTGAAGAGTACTTGGATTGGCACTCGTAGTATTAGTATGGTTAGTCGAGCAAAGAACGTTATTTCAAATACTATGCCTGGTATTAAGGTTACTACAACTATTCATAATAACCGTATCACTAATAGCAATCATACATACTCTCGTTACTATCCTATCATTTAAACTCGTGGCATCAGTATCCGCATTACTCCTCATCATCATCCTCATCGTTATCCTCTTCCTCCTCCTCCCCCTTCTCGTCGACGTCCTCCTCCTCCTCCTTCGCCTACTCCTGTTCCTCCCCCTCCTCCTCCTCCTCCTCCTTCTGCTACCCCTCTCCCTCCTCCTCTCCCCTCTCCCTCCTCCTCTCCCCCCTCCTCCTCCTCCTCCTCTCCTCCTCCTCCTCCTCCTCCTCCTCCTCCCCCTCCTCCTCCTCCTCCTCCTCCCCCTCCCCCTCATCTTCTGATTATGTTCATTATTGTTCTCATTATTGATAGTATTATTACTACTCGTGCAATTAGTATTCTTAGTATTGGTAAAGTTTTACTAGTATTATTAGTATGAGTCTTGTTATCTTGCTTCTTCTTCGTCTCCTTCCTCCTCCTCCACCTCGTCCCCGTCCTCCTCCTCCAGCTCCTCCTCCTCCTCCCCTCCTCCTCCTCCGCCTCCTCATTCTCCTCCTTCCCCTCCTCATCCTCTCCCTCCTCCTCCTCCCCCTCCTCCTCCTCCTCCTTTCCCTCCTCCTCTTGTTCATTGTCTTACTCTTGATATTAGTATACGTATTCTACTCCGTATTCAGATTATTCTTCAACACAGTATTCGTTTTTTATGATTCGCCCGCGTCTTATTATTACTTTGAGTAATACAACTAGTAGGGTTATTACTCGCATGATTCATATTATGAGTACTATTATAATTCGTCTTAATCCCCCTCCACCTCCTTGTCTTCGTCCTCGCCCTCCTCCTCCTCCTCTTCCTCCTGCTCCCCCTCCTCCTCCTCTCCTCCTCGTCCTCCTCCTCCTCCGCATCCTCCTCCTCCTCTCCCTCATCCTCTTTTTCCTCCTCTCTCTCCTCCTCCTCCTTCTCCTCCTCCTCCTCTTGTTCCTCTTGTTCCTCTTGTTCCTCTCGTTCCTCTTGTTCCTCTTGTTTCTCCTCCTCCTTCTCCTCCTCCTCCTCCTCCTCCTCTCCCTCATCCTCCTTTCCCACCTCCTCCTCCTCCTCTTCTTCTTCGTCTCCTTCCTCCTCCTCCCCGTCCTCCTCCTCCTCCTCCTCGCCCCCCTCCTCCTCCTACTCCTCCTCCTCCGCCGCCGCCTCCTCGCCGCCGCCTCCTCCTCCTCATTCTCCTCCTCCTCTCCCTCCTCTTCTCCCTCCTCCTCTTCCTCTTCCTTCTCCTCCTCCTCCTCTCCTCCTCCTCCTCTCCCTCCTCCTCCTCCTCCTCCTCCTCCTCGCCCCCTCCTCCTCCTACTCCTCCTCCTCCGCCGCCGCCTCATCCTCCTCCTTCTCCTCCTCCTCCTCTCCCTCCTCCTCTCCCTCCTTCTCCTCCTCCTCCTCCTCCTCTTCTTCTTCCTCCTCCTCCTCGTCCTCCTCCTCCATCTCAGCACTTACACCACATGAATAAAAATATTCTCTCTCCCCTGGTGGCGTCCGGGGAATGTCCGCCCCCCTCCGCGCACTGTTTTCGTACGCAAAGGATTCCCGGAAATTGGATTTTCGCTTTGTTTTTTTCAAGATGCTGCTCTCGCTGGAAAGCGCGCGCCAATTTCGGGCTACCGCTCGTTCCGAATCGTGATCCCGCTGCAACGCTGGCCTCATTTCCGCGCTTCCGCTCGTTCCGAATCGTACTCCCAAACCCGCTGCAGCGCTGGCGCCATTATTTCCAGCGCCGTGCCACGGCATGGTTTTCGGTCCTGCCAAGTAGGCCCCAAACTCTCGAAAATGCCCCCCCCCACCCAAATAAACCATCGGAAATGATTCCGCATTCGGTGTCGATTCGTTGATTTGTTGGGTCGCGGAAGCCGCCTCATCCCCCCACTTTGGGGCGTCGTCGCGCCATGCCATCTGTGCTGAGCTTTTTTTAATGCTGCTCTTGCTGAAGCGCTGGCCTCGTTTTCGGGCTACTGCTCGTTACGAATCGTGCTCGCGCTGCAGCGCTGGCCTCATTTCCGCGCTTCCGCTCGTTCCGAATCGTGCCCGCTGCAGCGCTGGCGTCATGATTTCCAGCGCAGAAGCCTCCCCAAAGTCCACCCCCCCACTCTGGGGCGTCGCCACACCATGCTATGTCAAACTACGCGTCCTCATATCCGCGATTCCGCGCTGAGGTTATTTGTTTTGATGCTGCTCTCGCTGAAGCGCTGGCCTCGTTTTCGGGCTACTGCTCGTTACGAATCGTGCTCGCGCTGCAGCGCTGGCCTCAATTCCGCGCTTCCGCTCGTTCCGAATCGTGCTCCCGCTGCAGCGCTGGCGTCATTATTTCGAGCGTCATGCCCCAGCATGATTTTCGGTTCCCGAAGAAACCATCGGAAGTGGTTACACATTCGATGTCTGTTCGTTGATTTTTTGGGCCGCGGACGCCCCCCCCCACCCACCGTGGGGCGTCGCCACGCCATGCTATGTCATGCTACGCGTTGGTCTTCGACACCTATGCCATGTTACGACATCCGATGTTGTGAATAGAGGGGAGATCTACGCCATGGTAAGGCATGAGAGTTAGGGGTAGGACGTCAGATACGACGCGGGCGCACCTGGCTTGTCTTCCTCCCCCTCTCCCTCCCCCTCCCCCTCCTCCTCCTCCTCTTCCTCATCCTCCTCCTCTCCCTCCTGTTCCTACTCCTCCTGCTCCTCTTCCTCCTCCTCATTCATTCATTCATTCGTTCGTTCATTCCTCCTCCTCCTCCTCCTCCTCCTCCTCCTCCTCCAGCTCCTCCTCCTCCTCCTCCTCCTCCTGGCTCGTCTCCAGACGGGCGTCGAACACAAGCGGGTCTCCGGCGGGATGGCGTAGCGAACTCACGCGGTGGCGCACGCGGGCCGCCGGCGCGGCACGCCGCACTGGAGAGGAGGGCGCCTGCGCGCGCTCCTGCGCGGGCGGCGCGCGCGCCACTTGCTCCTCCCCCTCCTCCTCCTCCTCCTCCTCCTCCTCCTCCTCCTCCTCCTCCTCCTCCTCCTCCTCCTCCTCCTCCTCCTCCTCCTCCTCCTCTTCCTCCTCCTCCTCCTCCTCTCCCGCGCCGCTCGGAGGGGCTCGCGTCAGCTTCGGCTCTCTGCGGTGGGCACGCCGCAGGCTCCACGGGGTGCAGCTGGCGACTCGCGAGTCGTTCGCCCCGCGGTGCGCGCTGGCGCCGTCCGTGTGTGGCGGTGGCGGTGGGGAGGGAGGGGGGTGCAAAGTGCGCGGCTCCGCGGTGTCAGCCGCGTTGCGCCTCCTGCCAGCAGCAGCTGCCAAGCAATGAGGCGGCTCGTCCGGAGCGCTTGGTCCTTGCACACCGCGGTCTGTCAGGGGGGCACTCGGGCTGGCGCTGGTGAATGCAGAAGGCCGCCCTTGCGGTGAGCACGTTACGCACGATTCACGTGGAGGATGCGCGCGACGGCTGCCACGCTCTCCGCATACCACGATAACTAGAGCCACGCGCGCGCGCTTCGTGTCCGCTAGGGTTCTATCGCGGGGCTGGTCAGCGTCACTACCCAATGGGTTCCTAGACGTGAGAACGATTGGAGCGCTGAATTAGAATTGCCAGCACTTTCTCATTGACAGGCACTGCAATAGCTCTGCCATGCCGGTTGCGGCTCTGTGCTGCAAAAACACATGCGTCCACCCATACACACGACAGCTCGTATACCTTTGCAGGTCAAGCTTGCCAGCACGGACCCCGAATGGTGACGTATTGACCCTGATGT